TGAAATATTTATGACCCTATGACCTAACTGAATCTTAACACTTGAATACACTTAAAGTAGCACTTTAGGGTTTTTCCAGCCTTAAACTCAAATAGGTAAAGAAAATTCATGAGCTAAGCATTCAAATGACTAAGTTAGTAGGTGGTGACATACTAAACCCAAAGAAAGAAGAAGGAATGGAATAATGATGTTATTAGGGCACAAGTTAATAAAATAAAAAACAAAGACACCATAAAGAAGAGTAGTTAAACCAAAAGGTGGTTCTTTGAAAATATTAATAGATAAGGCCCTGTTAAATTTAATTAATATGAAAGAGAAAAAGCACAAATAATATTAAAAAGGAAAAAGTAACAGAACTACAGATAAAGTCAATTTTACAAAAACTATAAGGAAAAAGGACAGTTTTCTAGAATCATGTTTATTACCAACATTTGGCAAGGAGGAATAAAAAATTCAAATAGATCCATAACCATGACAGAAATCAAATCAGTAGTATAAATCTCTTTAAAAAAAATACCATTTGTTCGTGGTTTTGTCAAGTTTTACCAAATTGCCAAGAAATAAATAGGGTGACCCCCAAAAAATGTATACACACACTTTGAATAATTATAAAGGCAATGTCTATTAAAATACATTTCATTTTCAAAATTGAACTATTAGCTGTTACAGAGTATATACACTTTTTTGGGACACCCTGTATATATTCCTATCTTATTCCTATCTTAAACTGTTCCAGAGAATAGACAAATTTTGAAAACAGCAATTCATTTTATGTCTTGTATAATACTGATATGTAAACCAGACAAGAATACTGTATGAAAGGAAAATTATATATCAAATTCATGGAATGGGTGCCTAATCCTAAATGAAATACTAACAAACCAAATCTAGCAAAATATCTTTTTTAATTTTTAAAAAAATCCTGAGCAATTTGGAATTTTCTCAAGAATGTGAAGAAATTGTATTTTTAAATTTACTATATTAAGATATTAGTGGGAAAATGTCATTTTAATAAGTGAGTAAAAAGTCTTTGATAAAACCCAACAGCCAAACTAAAAACAAACCAAAGCAAAAACAAGTGAAATTCTTAGTGAATCAGAATATTCTTAGTAAACTATGACTAGAAGGGAAATTCTTTAATCTGATAAAGGATATCTACCAAAAATTTACAGCAAACATTTTTAGGTGGAATACTTGGCATATTTCTGTTGGAGCTAAGAACAAAACAAAAATACCATCTTTCTGTATTTTTAACAATTGCATATGTCCAAGGTTATAAAAAAAAATTCAAGAGAAACTTCATATAAATTATTAGAACAAATAGAGCTTAGTGAGTTTACTTATGCATCCAAATCAGTAACATTCCCATATTCCAGTAATAGTCAATGAGGAAGTCTAATTTTTAATATTCCATTCAAAATAATAGTACTAAACTTTGAATACCCAGGAGTAAATCTAATGAATGACATTTAATACTTTCAAGGAGGAAAACATAAATCTTTATTGAAAGCTCTAAAAGACTTATATAATTTAAATAGGAATCTGTACCATGTTCATGAAAGGGAAAATTTAGTATTGTAAGGCTGATTGTTTTACCTCATTGATTTATAGAAATAATTTAGTCAAGTAACTCCAAGATTATAGTGAATTTGACAAGCTGATTTCAAAATTATGGAAATATAAAGAGCCAATAATCTAGGAAATTTTGAGGAAGATTAAGAAGGTATCTTTATCAGATATCAAGATCTATTGTAAAGCTGTATTCATTATAACAGTGTGGTACTGATGCAAGGAAAGACAAATAGACCATTAGAATAGACTACACAGCCCAGAACCAGATGCACATACTCATGGGAATTTGGTATATATTAGAAGTAGCTTAATAAATAGTTAAAAATTTAAAATACCCACTTTATCTCATATAAAATAGTAAAATCCTGTTATGTAGCAAAAACACTATAAGCTACTCTACAGCTTATAAGTTACACACTAAGAGATATTTCATAAGATTTACATTCATGAAAGGTATTCAAGGAGTATTAATTACTAATTAATGAGATAAATGAATAAAGCAAATGGGCAAAGGATGAATAGGCATGCATAGGAAAGTTAACTCAAATAAATATGTGTAATCTAATGAACAAAATAAACTGAGGAAGAAAATAGATCCAGAGACATCGGAGCATGGAACAGACTGAGGGATCTCAGAGGGAAGGTGGGGGT